AGAGGATTACACCGTTTGATCTACTAACCGTGGACTTAGGTTCAATCCTCGCACATTTGTCATCCCCTTTAAGACCGTTTTGTTTCGTCTGGTGCCACTGGATATTATTGTGTGTCTCAGTGCCGTGGCCACTATTACTGGCAGATAATAAGGGTCTTTTCCCAGCGACAGATACCCATGGTGCTTCAGCTTCTGTGTCTGGAGCGGTTATGGCAAGAATTGCAAGTTTAACCGGTGTGGATTTTGGTATACCCGATTTACGTGCAATTGTGCTATTTTCCGAGTTGGTGGGAGTAGAACTTTTCACGTTTTTCCCTGATACCTCTATGCCATCTTCAGCTTTCAAGGAACTACACGAGGCTGCATCAGTACGGCAACTTAAGCATATGTACCAGAACCATGGGCATGGGTTCTTACGCATAAAATCATCATATATTTTTTGTACCCCGGTGTCGCATCTACAATGTACCCATTGCTTGCCAAAGTTGCATTCGAAGGCAGAGCCTGCTTGTTCGACAACAGAATCGCAGACCTTGCAATCGTCTGCCTTCTTGGGGAACATTTTTGTCGTCTTGCGACGTCGTGAACATTTCTTTTTGGCCTTCCTGTTTGTTTCAAGGCCTACTATGGAGATAGATGTTATACAATTCTCAATTGACATAATCATGTAAAATTGTGACTGTACCACATAAGCATTACAACGATCCCACATAAGGAGCATTTTAGTTAACTTAATTGGCTTATATATCTCATCACTTTTAAATATTCATGCATTATTAAATATCTGAGCTGGGATGAAATTTATTTTAAGCAGTAGTAGTAGTGTATTTTATCCTTAGTCATTCCGCCGGTATTTTGTTTTACTTCATTTGTTTGAATACAATCACATGCTCTTTAGTTAGCCTACATGTAAAGAATAATTAGGAATTTAAAAAAAATTGTGCCACACTGTTTACGGCATAACTGACGCAAGCGTAGTGGACAGTGTTTTGCTGCTGTATTTGATTATGACAAGTAACGTCGAAGAAATACTTCAGTAATTTAGTCAAGTAAGTCGGCTGACTGTATATGGAATTATAAGTGAAATGAAATGTGAGCATATTTATTCTAAAGCATTTAAATAGACTAGTAATATGTCTTCTACTGTTAATGTATAAGTAATTTAATAATGTGCGTCGGTGGCATAGCGGTTAGGACGCTCGCCGACCATGCACATGGTCCGGGGTTCGATCCCCGGCCACAGACACACTCCTGTACCTCGCTAAGCCTGAAATAATGCTGGTGAAGAGGGAAGGTTGGACATGAGGCTAGCAACCCCATCCTGTAAAATAAACACTGCTACAGAAACTCCAAGCCACTAGCTTGAAGCCCTATGTTCCACTGGTGAACGTGAAGGAAAAAAACAAAAAAAAATTTAATAATACTGGTATGTGTTTCACTACTGTTGCATGTATTTGTTTGAATTTAGCCCTTAGAGATTCCAGTAAATTGAACGTGAGATTATTTGTTCAAGTATAATTTGAATTTCCTGTTGACTAATTTCTATTCAACTGAAATATTCCGATTCTGTTGGGCTCGTATTACAGACTCTTTGATGATATCTGCTGGTAAGCATGATGTCATTCGGTTGTTAATGACATTTCTAAAGAGATTGAGTATTTCACTCCAATATAAATCAATCAATGGGATAACGCATTTGCGTTTGGGATGATGGGTTCTTGTCTCAGTCGGGAGATAATAACTTACCAAGGATTTTAGGACATCTATATGATGAGTCCCAAATATGATAAAATGTGCATCCTGGATTTTACTGCTAGTTTCCATCAGAAAATAGACATGAGATATTCATTTTCTGAAGTAAAGTCCATTTACCAGTAGTAATATTAATTTCGTCTGAATTAGAAGATAAATTTATCATGGTTAGGCAGTGATTATAGGTGAATTTTTGACGCAGTACGCCCGTTGTTTCATAGGCCTGCATACTTATAAAAATAACTGGATGTTTTGATCGTGATCTGATGGAGCATCATGACTGTGTTGTCTTGTGGAACAAGACAGGTGATCTGAAGGGCTCTTCAGCCGGCTTTTTAAAACACACCTAATCCATGGTTGAAATTAAATAGAAATCTCTAGATTAGTGACTTGAGTTTGTAATGATACAGATGTCATTGCTTCATAGATTATGTGTGCAAAACTCACAAGCGATGTCACATTCAACCTAAACCGTTTTTTATTATTTCTATTAGAAAATTTATTTATTTGATGGCTGTACATCCCTACACATCGGTCTATGAAAACACCTTAAAACAATGCACTTTAGATTTTATCAGGTGGTCTTCATTTGAAAAAAATTTTATTTTAAAGAACTTGGATAGAAGTTGAAATGAAAACCTGGATTCTTTGAACGCTGAAACCAGATGAGTACAGATTATAGAGTCTAATCAACAACCAGTCATTCAATTCCTTTTCAAATTTAGTTTGCTTAGAATTCAGATGAAGGGAAATGGCTGAATAGGTGTGTGGTGACTGACAATTTCTATTACTGCATTGTTTAAATACTTACTGATGTTTGTTAATATTTCTTATATGAATTACAAATAGTTCCGCCAAATACAAATTCCTAAATTCATCCCTCTTTGTGTTGTTGGTTGATTTCCCGTAATTCATTCATTGAGAAATACTACTATTACAAGTAATTATTACAAGGTGGTTAAGCCATTGGACTATACAGGCTGTTACGCGTAACTCTGGTAGTAATTCAAAAGTCGACCATGGCTTAGCAAATACTTTTAACCAGAGAAGCTTGTAGTTGAGCTGTTTGTTGTTTAAAACAATGTGTCTGCGAAGAGAACCCGTAAAAATCCACTTCACACTGGTAAAAATAACAATCTTTGTTTTTCTAGCATAACTAACACTTATCTACTATTTTCACAGGAAACAAGTCAGTAGAATTTTAAAACCTACTTTTAGCTACTAGAAGTAACCTCCAAATATCTGTTATATGAAAAGCTTGCAAGCAAATGATATCGAATGAATTCATGGAACAGCTTGTATAATTGTTAGGATTATCAAATAAGGCCATTGGTAAAACAGATAACTCATTTGTAATATAGCTGTGAGCATATTTTAACCATTATATCAAGCACTTTGGATCTGTAGGTAATGCTTAGTGGCCTAAAGTAGGTGATCAGGAACATAAGGTAATTATATAACTACTGCCAGTCATTTAAAAGACTTTGTGTAGTTGTTCTGCCTAAAGTGAATGACTTATTTGTGGGGCTTTAATTGTATGTCTCGACATTTTCTTAGACGAAAGAAACATCAAGAATACCAGGGAATTTCTGGAAGCTGGGCACTCAGACCAACAAGGTAGTTAATACCGATACAAGTGGAATAAGAAGTGGGCATTTTTCCAGGAACAACCAATCGCGTCCAAAGACACAAAGAAAGGTGCTTAATAAACTCATGGAGAATTCTAAAGACTCATTTCACATTAAATTCTGAGCTCAAAATTTTGTCCAGGGGGAAAATGTAAGTTTCACAAATAAACTGTGCAGCTCTGGTTACACACACAAACGTTTTCCTCATAATTTAAGAGACTGTTGTCTCTATGGTTGAGAACTCACAAGTAAAGTCAACTCGGAACATCTCATATGCGCACTACCTATATTGAAGTATAAAAGTAGGAGGTAAGCTATGTCGTAACGCACTGATACAGTTTTTCGTGCATTAAATATTATTATGGTACTTATGACTATAAGTAATCAATAATTCAGAAGTTTAGAGTGGCGTCATGAAATATGTTTCGTGCATATTTCCTATATTTTAGATATTTGTTTCGTATGAAAGTTGGCTAGGAGAATGAGGATACACGCTGTCATAAACCAAACTTGCCGCGCTTTCGGTTCAGTATACTTGTGTAGGCAGAATGGAGACGGTTAATTATAACCTGAGTTTCCTCAGGTAGTTGTTTTTGTATTAAGGGCCTAGAACAATACTGTAATCACATAAGACGGTACTTTTGGGTGATTCAAAGGTGTTTTATCGACTTGTTTACTCAGCTAGAAAAGCTCTTCTAACGTTTTCTGTATTGTGAGTGAAAACACCACATGACAGCCTCATTCTGATTCAAATGCGCGTCACGTGATTGAATATTTTATATTCGTGAGATTTGAAAATATTAGTGACTGTTTTTGCACAGGAATAAATATTTTAGTATGGAATAAATCAGCTAAGATAGCTTTTAACTTGATTGATGTACATAATCTTATTCATTGATTGCATACAATGGAAACAGAAGAGAAAAACAAACCAAAATATATTAAACCATATATGTACATGGAAGAGTTGTTGTGTGAAGCTGCTTCAAGCGGAAATTTAATCTCTGCTGCTCGTATTCTCCACGAGCGTATTGATCCAAATTGTAAAGACCACGTTGGTCGTTCACCATTACACTACGCTGCTATGAACGGTCACTTCGATATGATCCGCTTGTTATTGTGCAACCGTGCAGTAGTTGATGCAGTCGACTTCAATAATGTCACTCCGCTACACTTAGCTGCACGTAATAACAGTCTACGTTGCACGCAGTTATTGTGTATGGCTGGAGCAGATTATACACTGAAATGTGCATCAGGTTGTACTGCGAGAGATTTAGCACCGTATGATTCAGCTACATGCCACTTTTTGGAAAAATATGAGACAGGTGAGAGGCCTAGACCGAAGGCTATACTCAGCCGACTGTCGAAACCGGTTATACCACCTTATGCAATACCTCAGACTGTAACAACTGACGCAAAGAATAACAAAAAAATGTTAAAAAATAAAAAGAAATGATGTGAAAATTTTGTTTGTTCCATTATTTGTTTAAAAAAAAGAGTATATGAAAAGAGTTAGTAAATCATAAATATACTAGTTAGAATTTATTATCAGTTTATGACGTGTCTCTTGCTATTGTCTTTAAAACGCGGTTTTCACGAATTATTTTTCTCACTCTTTCTTCAGCCTGACTCATCAGGAAAATTATCTTCATTACCATTGTTTAAGTCATTGACACATTCGTCTTTGTTTTCTTTTTCATTTACACTTTCATTATAAATCTCATTAGACTTTTGGTCCATCAGGTTGTCAGACATGGAATTCATTCTTCTTAGATGTTTGACATTTCGCATCATTAGCCTGTAATTCGGATGTGTTTTGAAATAAAAAAAAAGGAATTATTCAACACTGGGTAAAGTTTGATTGACTAATTCAATGGGGAAAATATTATTGTACTGGTTACTTAAACAATTTGATGAACTCTTATTGAATAATATCTCGAAAGGAAACCGTTTCATGCGTTGAAAAGGTTTTGTTAATATTTCCCAAGTAATACTGGTTGAAAAGCGTAGAAAAAATAGGCATTAAGATCCAGTAAACTTAGGGATTCAGGAAAGAGTAATAACAATAAATTATAACAAATAAATGGAAATTTGTGAGCAGCCATGAAGCCCAGGAACCGAGTGTAATGCAGATGAGCATCTGAAGTCCGAAGTTTCACTCAGAAGGCAAGACTCCAAGTAAATTTGCTACAAAATAATTGAGCAAAGGATATCCTTTTCGATAAATTCCTCTTCTGGCTCTACAATTATATATGTTTATATATAGAATATTCTAGATTAGTGGTCAATAACAATATTAGTGTTTTTTAAATCATATCGATTTGTGCATTTCTTCAAAATGAGTCAGATGATGTACTGTAAAATTTTGTTAACCCCCTAACTTACAGCTAACAAGATCAGTATACAATAAGTTTTCCCACTACTTTGAGATTTGTTCGAAGGTGTCAGAGGGGTGTATACTGGTAGTAGTGCTTGAATAAACATCGTAGACTAGTGGGTTACAAGAAATTAGTGAAACTAGTAACTTCTTTATATCATAATTATGCACCAGTGTCCAAGTGCTACGGTAATGGTGTACGATTTGCTAAATTACTTCGGTAAAGCCAAGAGTTCCGTGTGTGCATTCTTACCAGGAAAAATTTCCCCAATCATTTCCACCCATTGTTTAAGTTGTTCACCTACTGATTAGTTTCATTGAAACGGAAAAATAAATGAATCCATCGAACATATTCACTTTTTAACAGTTACTGACTGTTCCTTTACCCTTTCCTGCTTTGTACTGCTGCATAACTGGTCAGTAAACACGGCATATACAGTTTTGTTAAAACTGCTGAGTGAAGTCTGACATAAAACAGTGATGTAGACAAGAAAACGAATTCATTGAATTTTAAACCTCTGTTATTATTACAAATCAAACTGTCGCGAAAAAGCTAAAACTTACAAAACCTTCATTCATGCGGGAAAGAATAACTTTGTCCTTGTACTGTCTTTACAAATTATTCGACGATTATTTGCGAGTACAGACAACTTTTTACGACTGATTTCAATGAAGTTAAACTTAAAGAAAAGAGGAACTCCCCCATGGTTGATACATTTACGTATTTATGAGGATGGAAAACCATTCAATATTATTTATTGAATCAATATCTGTCACGGAAGATTTAAAATCACTCCTGACAAATAACCTTAAAATTAAGTAGGTAGTTGTAAATGAGTCCCTGAAGGCCTGTTGGATATTCTCTAGACGTCGGTGTTTCTTAACTGATTTAAATCAATAATTAAGACAATGAAGGTGAACTCAACAGCTACCTCATATTGTTTTACAGATGATTAACAACAAAAATGTGAAAATTATAGTTTGACATGTTCAGCATTAAGGTATTTTACACAAATTACAATTTACACATCAGTTCTGCTGACTGACGAAAGCATGTGCTCAAACACACAAGCACACATGCTCACGCGATACTAATGAATTATTACGTCTGACAACCTATTTTCGATAAGTTTAAATTTCCAGTTTTAATTTTGATTTCTTCAAGCTCAAACATTGCTGGGAACATGCATTTCATCAAGATTATAAGTTCGCCTTGGTAATTTGGACTAATAAACACGGGGATCAGACTCATATCTTCATGTTGATTGGCCTTTCAAATTAATATAACTATATGTACTGTGCGTCTTACATTCATATTGCCGATCTCCACTGGCATACGTGAGGACTTAAAATTCGACATAAGTAGAACCTGGTAAATATTTACTTCATTTCCCTATTATTCCGAAATAAATTCACATTTATTCTCAGCTTAGATTCAGGAAAGACAGGTCGTGCGCGGACCGAATTGTAATGGTAAGCATTATCGTAGAAAACACAGTCTAGAATGACACTCAGCTGTCTATCTCAACTCTATCAGTTCTGAAAAGGTCATCGGTGGAGTCGACTGTGAAGTAATTTGAAAACTGTTCCGGTAATGCGGAGTGAAGCGCCGCAAACATTTAGAGATCTTGTAAAACAGTTATATAATGATGCCACAACTGAAGCAATTGAAAATGGGAAGCTCACCAGCGTGTTTTAAATAAAGACACGAGTAAGACAAGGCTGAGAGGCAATACCAACGATGTTACTGATTGTGATAAACTGGTTCATGCGACAGAAAATGCGGAGTGAGAAGACGACCATACTTCATATCAACAAAAAGACCCGCATTCTTGGAGGTTTGATGTCTCGAGTTTTAAAAACTCAAAGATTTACTGATATAAACCGACAAGTTGGAAGGAGAGACATCGAGAAAAAAACTTCAGGTAAGCACGGGGAAGACAAAGTTGATGAAGATGTTCAACTAACAACAAGTGTCAATCGCCATCAGCGACAGAAATCTAAAGGAAGTCCTCTCTCTCACTCACTCACCTGTACAGGCAGCATCCTTTCAATAACATTTAACGTGGATGAAGATGTCAGTACTGGCTAGGATCTTGAAAATAAGACAGTGGTTCCATGACCACAACCCGTAGTGGAGACTATAAGTAATGCCCTAACAAGTCCTACTGTGGATGTCTGTCTTTTGTTACTAAACGTTTGACAAAACAGTGATCATAGCACAAGCTATCATCTTATACTTCTTTTGTAGTCGTTTTACAAAAGATAACAGATGAAAGCTGGATGAAAACTATGACATCTCCATTGTTTAGCATGTCAGGATAAAGAGCAAATGAAGCCCATGTTGCATAAATTTAACATTTTACATAGACTAAGAACCAATTATTAACTGTATGATGTTGAAATATTTTTTTTCTCAATTTAAATCGAATCCACTTAATATTTTTAAGGTTAAGCTGCTATACTACAGGCATCGTTTGACCTTGACAGAATTTCGATGAATTGATTGAAAATGAATGTCTACTTTAGAGATTTATCATTCTAATATTACACATATATATGAGGTAGCTCAAATGAGATTATTTATGTTAAGCATCTCATTAACATACGAGCCAATGTCTTCACCGTAAATAAAATAAAATATAAAGAGGGAAGGTAATAATGAGCAGGAACACAATCAACTATGTATACTTAGTCCACAAGGAACTGTCTCAACAAATCAAACAAGAGCCGATTGCTCAACAAATGTGTTGAAGAAAATGGAGACGGAAGAGGAGTCCGTCGAATGTCACTGCGCATAATGCAGGCCATTGCTCGAGTGAAATCCCAATGGGAGGCGATGAATGGGTTTTTAGTGCGAGGGTGACATGGAGGAAATCGTTTGGCAAGGAGGAGATGAGGGATCATTGTCAATCGTGGAGTCAGCCAGCTGAAGAGGACGGCAGAAAATAGAACGAAGTGGATATGTGTTGTTGAAACCCTATGTTCCACTTGGAACCCAAGGGAATAGTAATAATATACACAACAGATAGAACTAACGCAAACTTTTATTGTGTGTGAGGGATTGTGAAGCTGTTTGACTGCCGAGATCCATTAAATGAACGATATGTACGACTAGTTGAGAGTTATCCATCTAAGTAGCAAACGACGGTTTCATTTGGTGCGTGGTGAAAACTATTTATCGAGTTTTTTTCTGACTGTTATTAGGTGATGGCGTGATACACTTGTTATTCACTAAATAACCAAGAAGTTTGTTGAGGTGAAAATGTTTACTCAATATTATGTTGATTTGGCCTGCTCTCACGTTTAGTTTTCAAAAGAAAAGACACTTGTAGAACGGGTATAACAAGAAAGTGAAGACATGGATTGTTTTAGAAGTTGTCTAGTGCCCTTCTTTTAACAGTTCTGGAGTTTTTCAATTCACTTTTCTCTACTACTTGAATATAAGAATAGTCATGATTTTTCTAGTCAGTTTATGCATTTACAGCGACGTATTCAGTCAACGCCCTGATCAAAACCTTTAACTATGATCAAGGGTTTGATAGGCATACGAAGAAATCAGTTAAAATGACCAATCAGCTTTACGATTATAACTACTTGAAGTTACACCCTGAGACAAAAGCATAATTAGTTCTGGTTCTCTGTATAACTTCCTTCATAGATCGTTTTGTAATTTGGAAGTGAAGCATTGTTTCAGATTTACTCTGCACCAGACTAGAAGAAGGAAAGCCAAAACAAGGCTATTGGATCGTCAATCAGTAATCGTTAATTTCGCATTAGGAAAGCATAGGTGAAACTGTGGTGTCATATCAATGAGCAAATAAACTAGTTTTTAAGAAAGTCAAAACACTGAAAATACCTCAGTAACCATCTTAAAAAAAGTTAATTAACTGATATTTTCAAATGAGTCATAACCGGGAGTATTGCGGAATAAAGGGAATCTGTTTCGCGGTCAGCTTCATTGATTTGGATTCCGTTGGAAATCAGGTTTTTCTTCTGTCAGTCTCTGTCATCCGTCATCTCATTGAATTGTAAAATATATAAAAAATCTACTTTTAATAACAAAACTCTCAGTGATCCAACTCTACCTTCATCTAACTATATTACTTTCTAGAAATGTAGCCCTAACGTAACCTCTTATGTGACTACGTATTATTTCATGCATTCGGACCGCTAAAATTTTCACTAAGTCAAATGTTATTTTTAAAATAACCAAGAATTACTCTGTTAATCATCAGAAGCCACTTAAACTGAAGTTTATTGTAGGCTTGTATTCTAAAGGTTCTTCATTCGAAGTCTTACGACAATAAACTTTTTGATTCCATCTTCACTTTTCACGCCAATATCGACCTGTTGATCCCAGACAACCTTAAATAATCTCACAGATGGAGGGGGCTACAACAATAATACACGTTGTTGAACTGAAGAGTTATGTTTAACACTCGAAAATATGTTTCGCCATTAGTATTGTGTTAGGTAATTTACTCACTAGGCCGAATATTTTCATCATCATCATCATCATCATCAGACTTCTACTACTGTACTTTATTGCATGGTAATGCCTGAAAAAGTTGTCTGTAATATCTCTCATTGCATAGAATGAATGTTACATTTTCAAACCTATTCATGAATACTAATACTCCTAGGGTATAATAAATATTCCTGTCAGTAATGAAGAAGGAAATGTAAGTGATAAGCGAAAGCTTGATGTCGATTACACGAAGATCTGCTTAAATCACTAGGCTATCAAATTCCCCATCCATCAAAATGCATCTTATTTATTCCACTTCATGTCGCTGTCGTTTTTTTAATTAATTATTTAATTACATCCGTAAATCACAGATACACATGTAGTAAAGATAAAATGATTCGAAAGTCGGCCCCAGTTGTGGGATGCCAGACTTACCTTATTCCAAGAGGAAAATTTTCAACTCTTCCGAACACTGCTTTTAATTTTTCCATATTAATTATAGCGCCATTTTCCGAACAGATTGAAGCTGAGCTGTCTCTCAGTTTCTTATATCGATTTTGAATCATACCAGACACGGTGGTGTACGGTAAACTAATAGAATCTTGCAAGCTTATCCATAATCTCGTTGTTTTTCTTATATCTTTATTAAATGGTTCCTCTATCGACGTGTTATCTAGTGTTGTATACGTAGTAGATGCTTTGTAATCGCATAAGTCAGATTCATGTTTAAAGTACCGCTTAATTGAATATTGGTTAGGTTTAAAGTGTTTGCTTTGTATTGAGATATTCTTCATTGATTGTATTATCTGTTTAAGCGATGTTTTCTTAAAATTACTGACCATGTAATTTTTAAATTTCATTGATGCCCTTGAACAAGAAGCTGTCAAATTGTTTAAAGTCAATGATGGATTTATTGTGTAGCGTTGTTTAATTCTCATATTACTGAAGGTTGATATTTTACCGACAGGAAATAATTTCCATTTCAGATTACGCATTTTTTAAAATTTTCTAATCACTTGTTAAATTAAGCGTTGAAATTATATCGGAATGTTGGTCTGGATGAGTTAAGCATTTAATAGAGGGTGCATATTCTAGTTGTAGAAGGAAACTGATCTGATCATTAGTCTCATTGCTTTGAAATCATCAGCGGTGCATACAATCTCGAGCAAATTGTTAATTTTGTTTATTTCTCTCAGATGAATTTCGTATATTTATACTAAACATATGCGACTTGAATAGATGTTGTAAAGCATAATATGCATTTCTTTCGATATTGTTAGTGTGTGTCGACTTCACTAGTATCTTAGTTACTTAAGCAATAAAATGTCACAGACACATATACACACATAAACACCCACATAAACTTTATAGGTAAAGTTTTATTTCTACACAGTATGCACATAGTATGTTGTCTGAAAAAGGATTGGGTAGAATTGATTTTTAATTTTCCTTTTTTTTATTTGTTTAAATATGTTTGATAAGTTAAGAAATGCAGACTCACATGGAAACACACACACACACACTATGTGGTGAAACAAGATCTTATAAGTTATGCTTATTTAATTTACGAATATATGACAATGAATTAAGTTACAAGCTAATGTATTATTTGGTCTTTGTAAAGAGGATAGATCGCATCCAGGTGCCTCCTCTAATGGCTTAAGAGAGCCAAGACAAACAGCAACGAAGATCGACTTGTACATTCTTTAGATTTCTGCAAAAAGTGCAATGAATTATGGAAGGTTGAAAATCACAAGTTATAATTTGTCATCCTATATGAATCAAGAATGAAATCATCATAACGCCATCAAATGAATTTCAGTAATTCCATTGACTGAATTTCACTAACTCGTTCGTGATATCAATCTTCAAGTAGTGAACAGCTATCATTTTCTTTCTTTTTATCAAAATTAATGTTAGTTAGTTAATAATAATAATAATAATAGCCTTATTCCAAACAGTACTTTTGGTAGAAATATAGAATTATCAGCATGTAATACAATATTGCATCTAATTTTCTCATGATATGGGCAATAATTAAAATAGGGCATTTACATTATTAATAATATATATTAGTTATATTCTTCAATAAGAAACGAATAAAATAAAAGACAAATTCAGCGAAGAAAATTTTCTTTATCGATGAAATCATCTTCAGAGGCTGTACAGTCCTATTTATATTTAACAAAAATGTCTATTATTAAGTAATAGGGGGTGACATAATTGATATAATTACTCGGAAGTGGCTTTAGAAGTAAAAAATGAAAATTGTAAATTACGTGGTACTCAACAGCGCTAAGTTAGAAATTTGGTAAGGTTAAAATTGCTATTGAGTGAGAATAAAGGTAGTCCAGTGTCAATTTAACAAGTGTAAAGAGGCTGTGAAAATGTACAAAACGAACATATGAGAGTGACAACAGTGAATTAATTATTAAAGCAAAAGCAAACTAAAAGTAAAATTTAAAAAAGAAAAGAAAAAATCAAAATTTTTCACAGGGAACGAACGACTAGTGAAGAGGTTAAGACCAAGCTCGAATAATAGACTGGACAAACTTTTCTGTATACAGAGTTCGGGGCTGTACTGACGAATTGCCAGCGCCTCCGTCATACACAAAAGCCGAAACCTGAAGCCCTTTGTACCATTTGGCTTCACCTTGTAGATGATCTTGAAAGACGACTCTGGTAGAACTACTGTGGTGAGAGATGTCTACTAGCCAAGTGGTGGACAGTAATTGAGGTCAATGTTTATGTATCAAATATTTCAGTAAGGTGGACAGGCGGTTACAGTTAACATATAGATGAACTGACATGGCCACAAGAGATGCAAGGTTAACCTTGTGTGAGAAACAACCAATCAACAACTGTATTTTCTACTAACATTGACCTACAATAATGTACATAAAAATCTATAAATACGTGTTGATTTTTCGTAATAAACGATCTGTTGCCTGGCCCTTGTCTTCTGTTGTTACACTACGTGGCCTGAGTTCACCAAATGCTCTAGAATTGAGCTCGTAACTGTCTTGCATCGTCTTTTGGCTAACCATGCCGGATAATGTTCTGAGATGCGTTTGGAAAGTGTGCGCTTTGTGCGGCCAATATAACTAGCTCCACACGAGCAGGTGAATTTATCAACACACACTGAGGTGGCCCAAAACGGTAGTTTATCTTTCACACATCCATTGATCATTTGTCGGCTGTAGAAATTGATACGTAGCTCAGTCGTAAAGAAGGCTTTCCTCAGTGATCTTCATAAGGGATTCTTCAGGATCACAGCTGCGGTATCACCTTTAAATTCAACACTCACAAATAGCAGTTTCTTCGGCACCGTCTGAATTCTTTCAGGCTTTTCCCTTAACTTCATGTTTTTCTCGATAAATCTTGGAGGATATCCATTCTCTATGAGACTTGTCTGAGTCACTCCAGTTCCCTGTTGATTGTATAACTGGGACATATCCTCCTTATTCTTGAGGATAAGGCTTCTCTTTCTTCTCAAAGGGACCAAACTATGAAAATTCGTGCACTGATCATTCCATGTTGGTTTCCTGTAGATCGAATATAAAATTAAATCAAGTGAAGATATTAGCGACAGTGTGACAATAAGAACAAAAAAGTGCCGTTGTTTTTCTGAAGTTTCATAGTTCACAATAATTTCTGAAACGTTCAGTGTTCCTAAATATTTTATTTACCTAAATATGTTGGTGTCAGTTTATGCACCATCTTTATTCTTAAAGTACTAAGACCAGTTGCGTCGGTGGCACAGAAGTAGAATGCTCTCCCACGATGCAGGTGGTCCAGGATCCGATCCCCAGCCGACAAACTCCTTTACCTCGCTAGGCCAGTAGTAAGACTGTTAAAGAGGGAAGGTTGGGCATGAGGCTAGCAACACCACCCTGTAAAAATAATCACCACTGCTACAGAAACTCCAAGCCTCTAGGTGGAAGACGTATGTTCCACTGGGAACATAAAGGAATAAAAAAAACAACTAAGATCAGGATTATTCTTAGGGGGGAAAACACCATACCAGGTCGATCTTCTAAAAGGGTAGTAAATGAGATTTGAATTAAAATTGCCCTACCTTCAAGATTGTTGTCCATTGTCTTTCTTAAAAATAAACGAATACCATTCACATAAAGGGTATTACATTTGTGTCAATATTCACCAAGTTTTGTTTCTTTCTAAAAGAAAACTTATTTTATCTTGATACGTACAATGATTTACAAACATTCACTACTATCAGAATATCACTATTTGCAAAATATGTAGCATCACCTGTGTAAAACATCATATTGGTCAAAACCGACTTCCCTATCTGCGTCAAATGCAAAAAAACGAACTATGTGTCAACAAAAACTACATGTATTCCTTCACACCAACACATGTAGACAGCATGTGGACACCAGTCTGACTGGGTGAATGTGAAAATTCTAAACATTGCCAGAGCAAGAAAGGTATCTATAGGTGATTACTTACATTAGGAATTTGGATATATTCATGATTCCTTGATAGAGATGGGTTATCCCGAGAATTCCAATAAAGAAACGAATAAAAACATTGGATAGAAAAACTGAGACTATGATAGCATGGAAGAAAATTGTACTTATTAAGTTACAATTTAGCGGGGACTTGTCAAGTGAGATTTTGTTCCAGAGACTTTCCAGAAGTATGCGTACAACGTTTTATGCAGCAAACCTATGTTTGTCATTCTCTAGCTGACGGATGATTGGGACTCAAATGAAGCATAAGCTAGATAGCTTTGCCACATCTATGTGTATTTACTAGTTCAACTGGTTCCGTGGTGACAGCTATATTGGGCGTGCTACTAGAGAGCTTAACCAACGTGTTACTGAACATCTCCCATCATGGTTTGGTAAAGGACAGATAAAAATCATCCATAGCTGCATTTGTCACATTCTGTTGATAGCGGTCATCTAGTGGAGAAAACGAAATCGTGCAAGATGATTCATCGCATCCTACCGAATCTTTCTAATGGACTTCGTATTCATCTACTACATATAGCTGATGCGATAGGCATTCGGACTATTAAGTCTAAACTATGCATTCAAAAGAAGTTCATACAACTATTTTCCTTCCTTTGGCCTATTAACGCATAACTAACCGCTCCCCCCTTACTGATATTTCCAATCCTTTTCTTACCATCCTTCAATCTTATAACATCTTCATTAAAACGTAGTTTGTTTACTCCTCTTACAATCTAGCATAATTTGATTGGGCCGTTTGTTTTCTTATTAGCCTTTATCGACTACTTCTATCTGAACGTTTGTTTAATCGGACCCTTTTTCATTATTCTTGCTATCACAGATCGCTCCACTTTTCCATCTTTGTTATTGATAGAATCATTTTTATTGTTATTATGTCGAATTGCACAATCTTATCACCATATTGACAAATCACCGTGATTGGTTTATATTTGAATATTTATTTGTAAACTTATGTATTGTTGAGTTGATCACGGATTGATATCAGTTAGAGAAGCATTGAAAACCAGGGAGTACTGGACAGCTATTTCATCCTAGTTTGGGAATCGTTGGAATTACGCACCCACTGGGGTTCGAATCCAGGACCTTCAGGTTACAAGGCAAGCCACTGAGACCCGATTCACTGGCCAGCCCATGAGTTCTAACACCTGCCAACTCGTGATTTAGCGCGCACTGCCGATGATTCCCAAACTGAGATGAAACAGCTGTCCAGTACTTCCCGGTTTTCAATGGTTCTCTAACTGATATCAATCAGTGATCAACTCGTGAAAACAAATCTAATCCTTAAATACCAACTAGTGAATGTTATGTATATTAGAGTTAAGCCTGATGAGATCTAATTGAAAACAAAATATTGTTCGCTTACATGTGTTGTTCTGAAATTTTAAATAGTGAAAGCACTAGGAAACGCCAGAGGTTTCTTAGGATTCTTCTATTCAAGTTAATCTTAACTCAGCAGATTTACAGACTAAGATCAAATTTATCCATCAGTATGG